AGTGTCCAGGGCTAGGACGTTGGGGGGCAAGAAAGGTGGGTGTGGCAGGAACATGGTGCCCAGTGAGAACAAAGACGGAGACCGAGAGGCAGGTCCTGGGGACCCATGAGTCCCGGCAAGAAACTGAGAGTCTTGCCTTTCTTTTTTTTTTGTACAGGGAATTGAACCCAGAGGTGCTTAACCACTGAAGCCACATCCCCAGCCTTTATATATAAAATTTAGAGACAGGGCCTTGCTAAGTGGCTGAGGCTGGCTTTGAACTCGCGATCCTCCTGTCTCAGCCTCCCAAGCTGCTGGGATGACAGGCACATACCACCACACCCAGCGAGTTTCTCTTCTCATGACAGCGGGAGCTGGATTCGTTTTGGGGGGCTGCAGGAGCAAATCTCCCCACTTCATGGTGACCTACAGCCATAGAAACGCATCCTCTCACTGCTCTGGAGGCGAGTGGAGTGGGGGGGTCATGGCATTGGCAGGGCTGTGGCCTTTCTCTGTCCTGCCTCTTCCAGCCTCCAGTGGCTCCGGGCGCTCCTTGGCTTGTGGCCTCACCCTCTCATCTCTGCTTTGGCTTCCCTATGTGGCCTCTTCTTCTAGGACACCCGTTATTGCATTTAGGATCCAAGCTCAATATAATGTCAGCCAGAGATCCTTCCCTTAATGATATCTGCAAAGCCCCTGTTTCCAAAAAGGGGCCACGTACACAGATACCAGAAATTAGGACCTAGACATATCATTTTGGGGGACACAACCCAGCCTACAGCACACAGTACTATAGTTTGTAAGTTTTGGGTACCAGGATGGAATCCAGGACACATAACCACCGAGCCCCATCCCCAGCCCTTTACTATGTGGTATTTAGAGACAGGGTCTTGCTTAGGCCTGGCTTAGAGCCTCACCTCGTGGCTGAGGCTGGGTTTGAACTTGCCCTCCTCCTGCCTCAGTCTCCCAAGCCGCTGGGATCACAGGTGTGGCCCACCACTCCCCGCGGGGTATTGTAGTTTGAACCGAGAACTGCTGCAATCTGATTCACGACCTAGCAGGCTGGGGTGTCCTGTTGGACAGGAACAATTGCACCGATCACCAACCCCCAACAAGGCTACTCGGTGTCTGTGATGGATCCAGACGACACAAGACACAGTATGTGAACACAGACAAAATGTGGGCACGACCCAAATTCCAGCATCAACCAAGCCCCCCGACCCTGGCTGACATGAGCGACTGCTCCTTTGAATTCAAAGTAAAAGCAAAAATCAGCCATGGATCTAAACTTCCTCTCTCCTTCTCACCTTCTCATAGGTAAGAGCAATGAAGACACCCGACTGTAGGATCACCCGCTTCTTCACAGTATCCAATCCAGGGCCAAGTCTGGCCTCCTGGAGTCTTCTCTCAAGACTCATGACCAAACCCAAATCCTCAATAAGCACTGGGATGCCCTCGGGTTCCCCAAGTTATTGCTGTTGTTGCCTCAAACCAATAACTTGGTTTCACCACCAGGATGGCCCTGGTGGTCTTTGAAGGGCAAAAACTGACTCTGTGGATAGGCGGTCTCTGCAGTCATGGGACCCCCGGACTTAGAAAACCGTGCCCTTTAAACCCCTGCTACCATATTGAAATTTTGAATTGCTTTTGGATAAGAAGCTCCCTATGTTCCTGCTTTAGTAGGTCCCACAAATTTCATAGCCTGTTCTGCTGAAGGGCATGGATAGCAGCTAATGCCACAGTCACTGCGGTCAATGGGAGAAGTGGTGTATTCAGGACCCTTTGGCCAGATCTGCAGGAGGGGCTGGTACTTTGGATCTCTGTGGGAGAATTCTGGGAAGGGGGAGATGACTTTTGAAATCGAATCAGGAGTGCTCTTCATCCAGATGGGACGCACTGGGGGAGGTGTCAAGTACATCCACTTTGGAGTGGGTGGACAGGAGCCCAGAGTCCCCGTCTGGTGCAAAGATACTTCTTCTCAAACATGATGAAGTGGGGATGGGATGTCACAGTAACAAAATCGGTGACCTGATATGGCACTACGGTTTTGCAACCTGTCACTGTGAGCGGGGCCGCCAGGCCCAGGGCTCGTGAGAGCTCTAGGAGTTATTTCTTACAACTGGATGTGAATCTACAATCATCTCAAAATGAAAAGTTTAATTAAAAAAAATTGGTGACCCAGAAAATCAGGATGTGAATGGGACTTCGGCAGCTCGGGGCAGGTGTTACTGATTTGTTATTCATCAGTTCTCAAATCTGCAAGGAGTTTGGGGGCAATTCCTGCAAGCGATGCAGCCCAAGGTAGGGGCTGTGTGTGATGTCAGAGGGGACAGGGGGCAGCATCGGTGGCACCTGAGTGTCCTTTCTTGCGGTATCTCATTGAGGGAACAGGGAGCAGCACAGGACTCTGTGAGGGGGTGGACTTGGCTCTGGAAAGTTCTCTGCGGAAAGCAGATACCGTTCTTCTCAGCAGTGGGGTGGACGCAGAGGTGTACTGGGCCTCCAAACTCTGAACAGGAGAGGTTGTATTGGCCTCCACTTTCTTGCTTTCCATGAGCCAGAGTCAGGCTGGGGAGGAGAGCGGGGCGCCATCTCATCTTGATATTTGCAGATTTATTCATGGAAATCCCCACACATCTGGATGAGAATATATTCCTTGCCCCTGGAGGAAATAGTTAAATGAATCGCTAAAGCACAAAATGTTCCTGTAAAATTGCTTCCATATTTTATTAGACGCAGATGAGCATGAATTATTGTGAAGTCAACTGGAGAGTGAGCAAATTGGGTTCTCGCCTCTGCCCCCCCCCATACACATCTTCCTCCCCAGAAAGTCTTGAAGGGGTGCTGGTTTGGGATGGGACCATGGACTCCCTGACTCACTTCTTCATTCATCCATCCATCCATAAAACATTTATTGGGCACCCACTGTATGCCAAGTGAGGCAAGCTAAGCTGCAGCTGGAGATATTCTTGTTGACCTACATTGAAACACCACCACTGCATGCATAACCGCCCTCTGAGATGCGCCATTTTGTTTGACTCCTTCGCGGGGAGATGCCTTTCTGGGAAGGAGGCTTCCTTTCATGTCTCTGAGTGCCTCTGTCTTATCTGTGCCATGGAGAAGAGGGGACCTTGTCACATACCCCTTCACAGTTGAAAAGGCTAATTCACATTAAATTCCTCTTTTTTTTTATCATCTCTTCATTTGCATCCAGGTGTGAAATTTCGGGGCGAGGGGGAAATGGACACAGCCATGCACAACCGACTTTCCAGCTGCAAGGATCTTACGATCGGTTTCTCACACTCCGTGTGACTCTGCCAAGTTGATCCCCGGCTGGGCATTCCCGGGGCCTGGCTTCCGTTCAGAATCCCCAGCACGGGGTGGGAGGGGGCACAGGGAGACGGACTCCTCTTGGGAGATGGAGTTGAACAAGAAGGTCAGTCAGATCCCTGGACGCTGGACTGTTAGGGATCGTTCACAGATCGTTCAGGCC